TATTGGTTTACATCCCTGTCGAATGTACCCGTGATCGACAATGCTCCTGACGGGGTGACCTGCGATGCTGGTAGAGATAGCTGAAGGCTGTACGACGGCATGCTGCTGGATGGCTCATTACCTAATGTCCATAATCCGGCTGATCATCTCCAAGAGCCTCATCTCTAAAATCCCCATCATGTCCCTCAACAGGTGGGCCAACAAGTGCCTCATAGCCCCCTTGCTGGGGACCACCTCCTCGCCGTCCCCCACGACCCCCGCGACCCCATGGGGCACCCCTGCCTCGTGGGGCACCCCTCCTCGTGCCCTACCCCTGCCTCATGGGACACCCCTACACCGATGGTAGTCCTCTGGCGCCGCATACTGAGCCTCGTGGTCCAACCTCGCAGCATCTCTCACCTGAAACAGGGTCCGACGAGCCACCTGTGTCACCCGTCGGCCATAGTCAACGAGTGCAGGATTGTCGGCATGCTGCTGCATCTCCTGTCCCAACTGGTAGAGGTGATGATGCCCAAAGCCTGTGAAACATTTAAAATATTAATTAAATAACGCTATATATCACAATTATAAGATATTAATAAGCCACAAAAATATACCAGTGCCTCGTGCCTCCCGGCGTATGGTCTGTAGCGATCGCCAAGTACATGAATGGGGTTCCCGATCATCAGTCGGGTGTGACGGGCGGTACCATGACGTATACAGATGAATAGTGGCCTCTGGGTAAATGTAGGCTGTGGCGAAATACGGTGACCTCACTGCTCCCAAGTATGGACCTGATGCTCTAGCCATCCCATATATATATCGTCCACCCTGGGATGGTCGTCCCGCTGATAGTGTGTAGCCACCCATCCAGGCTCCCCCGGTATAGGCTGGGGACGGTGAAAGTGGCGAAGCACACACTCTGTGGCATGATACTCAACCATATCGAAGAAGATCATCGGGACGGAGGTGCTCCAAAGTAGTCGGTCGACTGAGCAAATATCGGGCAGCTGAGCTAGCAACTCGTCGCTGTATGGCGTCCAGATGAACTACCAAATAATAACATAAAAGTGAGTATGCGCAACACAACTCAATTTAAAACAAGCAAGTGTAGGTACATATTTACCTGTCCGTCCACCAGCATATCTAACACATCCCTGACAAGGGGGAGATTATGATGAGTATCGCTCCCTCGGTAGTTCCCAAGCCGGAGAATCCACCTAGAAGCTAGAGGGAGAAACGGATAAGCCTCACCGGGCGCAAGTGGTGGTAGAGGTGGCTGCAACGGTATGATCCGCTGCCAGGCCCAAACCTAAGATAAAAGGTTGATGTAAAATTTATGAGTCATTTCGACCATATAGAATTCGGAGTAATGAACAGAGTATTCGAAAATGTTATCACCTGTAGGAGGGACAGAAAACCACATATGTCCACCACTGGGCCCATGCTCGCCCAGCACATGCTCCTATATAGGTATGCGAGAACAGCAGCACCCCAGTTGTACTGGGGTAAATCATCCAGCCGCTGAAGAGGATGGAGAAAACGCATACTCACAGTACTCCCCGAAGTGTTCGGGAACAAGACACACCCGAAAAGCAGGAGCAGCGCCAACCGCGTGTACCTCTCAATATGGAGATCCCCCATCTCGCCGGTAATGTCTGGGTGCAAAAACGTCATATGATCTCTGATGGCTGACAAAGCAATGCGACTGCCCCCAGCGTCATCCTGAGGTCTATAATCAGTAAACTGCCCCATCATATCCAAAAACTATGCACGCGTCATGGATCTAATGTACTGGGGCAGTGCCACGGCCTGTCCATCTACGCGCAGCCCGTACAAAACCTGAACATCCTCCAGCATGATGGTGGCCTCTCCAGTGGGCAAGTGAAAAGTGTGTGTCTCCGGTCGCCACCGCTCTACCAAGGCCGTGATAAGAGATCAATCAAGTTGCATCCATCCAAGCTCAAAAATCGTATAGAAGCCCGTAGCCTGTAGGCGCGCGACTATGCGGGCATGGAAAGGATGCTCCACGATGAACTCCCACAAATCGTCTGGTCTCCTGGGGCGGAGAGTCTGCTCCGATAGCTGTCCCTCGCATACATAGGAGGACCTATGGTCGCCCTGCAATACTAATAGCTGATCCTCGGCAGGTCCAGGATGCGCAGGCGGAGGAAAGGCCATGTCGTCTACTATAATTTAAACAAAATTAATTGTGTGTGTTAGTTTAATAAATTAAATAATTATTTTTAATATTGGACTGAGTAATTATCTATGGGTTCGAGGCTCGATATTTGAGGCCCGGTAGCACCAAGCTATCCTTAATTATTATGTGTGTCATTTTCAACATTTTTTAGAAATTTGTTAGTTTAATAAATTAAATTAAAAATTCTTGAATTGGACTTAATAATTATGTATGGCCTTCCAGGCTCGATATTTGAGCCCGGTAGCACCAAGCTATACTTAATTATTATGTGTGTCATTTTCAACATTTTTTAGAAATTTGTTAGTTTAATTAATTAAATTAAAAATTCTTGAATTGGACTTAATAATTATGAATGGCTTCCATGCTCGATATTTGAGGTCCGGTAGCACCAAGCTATGAGTTCTGGGCTTGATATTTGAGTTTATTTGACAATATATATTAATTTGTTACTTTTGTAAGTTTATTTTTATAAATTAAATAATTAATTTTGTAAAGTGTTATTGGATAGAGTTTGCAGTTACTACATACTTAAGGCTCTATATTTTACTAAGCTAAAAGGCTCTATATTTTGCACTCTACGCTAAAAGGCTCTATATTTTACTAAGCTAAAAGGATCTATATTTTACTACGCTAAAAGGCTCTTTATTTTACTAGCTAAAAGGTCACTATTACATATAAAAACAGCAAACATAACATACAAATATGAACAACAAACTAAATAAATAATATTTATTTATTATTTAACCAAATAAAAACATAACATTAAAAATACAAATTATTTATCAAATTTTAATAATATTTTGTCCCAAAGCTAATAAATCAATCCGGGTATAAATAAGATACAAATTTAAACACAAACATAACACAAATTAACATGGAAACACATTAAACAATACAAATATGCATGTACTATACGAGTTTCGGCATAAACAAAATCGAAATACCTCGATTTAAGTTTTTTGAATTTGATTGAAATTGAATTTTTGCACCGAAAGAAGGAATCCAAAGCTTGTCTTGTGTGTGGGACCTACACTCTTTGCTTTTTAGGTGACGGGTGGGGCCCAAATTTTTTTTTTTCTAATTTGACGCGGGGGACCAGCAGTGGGGGAGCAGATCGTTTTTTAATTGGGGGGGGGGGGGGGTATGGTCTTGGGGAAGAAGAAGG